AAAAAAAAAAAGAAATTACAGTTGAGATGTTTTTATCTTAATGAATTTGAGAGCTCTGGAGATTAGCGTGTGCATTTTCACAGAGTCATAGCAGGACTGACCAGTCACACTGGACTGCTTCCGTTCCTCCCCGGCCGTGTCCGTGCGAGCAGTGATTGCCAGGCTGCTGGCTCAGGTGACAGGTATCTGTATCCTTATGTGAAACTGTTCTAGGGGCTTGGACTACATAGTAAAACAAAAACAGACAAAAAAAAATAATAGAGCTTAGTGTAAAATAATTTTATAAATGATCTTTTGTACTTTAGGACATCAAATTGTACAACTTTTGTATATATAAAAGCTTAGGAACTTTCTGTTTAGCAGAAAGGAAACACATTCCTACACTTTTAATGTATATGTTTGTTATAATGTCCATGTAAACATATGCCCTATGTTTGTGCCTTTTAATTAGTTTGTCTCAATAAACAAAAATGTAGAGAAGAATATGTAGCTATGACTTTGTTACCACTGTTCTTACTCCAGCTGTGTAGAGGTCTGTGTTTTTGCACTGTGTGGAGCTCGGCGGGCGGGGAGCGGCACGGCCGGCCCGCGGCCCCAGGCGCATGCACCCCAACCTCCCTCCCCACAGCCCCCCTGCATGTTGGGACCTGTAGATTGTGAGCCATCTCTGGGACCCGTGGCCACGACACCACCTTGCACCAGTTTTCCAAAGTAGGTGTAGCCTTCCGGGTCTGGGTAACCACAGAGATGACCCTTAGGTGAAGTTTGGGTGTCCCTGAGCTTAAAAAAAAAAAAAAAAGGAAAAAAAAAAGAACAAAAGCATTAAAAGCCAATATGAAAATGTGTACTAGAAGTGGTTATCTATGAATTACTTACAATAAACAGGTGTGAGACTTAATTGTATGTTGTCAATTACTGCAGTATTGACAGTGGGTCCCTCGCACAGCCTGGCTGCTGTTATTTTTATCCCAGCAGTGTAGCAGTAGAATAAACACATTAAACACCGGCAAGGAAATTTTTCACTGTGACAGAGGCTTCCCAAACCACTAACCATGGTGCTCTTAGCGTGGCATAGGAAAAGGGCTGTTTCCTTTTTATTTTATGTTGGTTCTGCTCGACTGTACCTGGTTTATGTCCACAAAGCTGCATTAGCTAATTGTCGACCTGTTTCATTTGTACTTGGGTAAACATTTGCTTTGTGCCGTGTATTAATGGGTCCGAGGTGTCCTCAGCTGTCTCAGTGCGGACATTGACTGCGCTCTGTAATGCCGTCCTACCAAATACATTAAGCTGTTTTTCTGACAAACAAAAGCTACCTGGTCAAGTAGTTTATCCGACGTGCATGCTCCCTGCTAATCCATGTCCGTCCCCGTGCGGCGGGGCCGGAGCTGTCACGGCCGGTGATCCGTGCGGCACCTCGCGCTAAGGCTCTAGGAAAATGGTGGCTGGGAAGAACAGATGCTCCTGTTACACCGAGTTAGTTTCTATGCAGCTGATGTGCTTAGCCTAGTTTATTTCATGGAAACTTTTAAGCTGGATCGAGTCCAACATCCAGGGAAGCCTATTGCTGCCGTTGGTTCGAGAGGGGTTTATATCGAGCCCATTCAGGTCTCCGATTGCAAGGAGTTCAATAGGGGGTTTATTTTTTTCCTTCTGAAGTTTCCGTAAGCATTCAGCGTGAGGTGAATGGCTTAGCACCGACTGAGAGTTTTAAAAGTTGAATTTTGCCTTGGATTTGTGCCGTGGACAGTCAGAGCAGTCAGATGAACGGCACAGAGGGGCGTCCTCCGCGCGAGGAGAGCCGCGGGTGCCGGCTCTGGAAGCGGCCACAGGGACGTAAGTATTCCAGCCCAGCCACCCACACTGCCAGGAGTGGGGTAAATGGTATAAATGGGCAGTTTTTCTCTTTATTTGGAACACCCCACCACTTCCAGAGGGTGTTTGGGGTGAGGAGAAATCCGGGATTCCACCTTTTATTGAAGAGTTACACCTGAGTGTTGTAAATTGGGAAGATTCTGTTCGGTCAAGATGGATCAGAGAGAAACACGTTTTATTCTCAGCATAAGACTTTTAATTCTATTTGCCCTTGTTCACCAATAAAACATTTTTTTCCCCCCTCTTAAAACAACTTTTTCTTTAGAGAGGCGGAAGAAAGAAGTATTTAATGTGTTTGCATTTGTCCACGAGAGGTTTAAAGAAAACCACCCAGACCCCAGTAAGCTGTTGAGCTGCAGCAATCCCAGGTTACATAAAGGGGCCGGGGCTGCTGAGGATTAGCCGGGGCATTCTGGGTGCTGATAAGCCTCCAAGTTCTGCTTGCTCTTCCCTCACTTTTATTTTAGAAACAGCCACTCAGAGCTGTATCCTGAAAACCACCTGGGGTTCATTTTCAAGGCTGAGAGGGTTAGATTCCCACCAAAGAGAGAAGGAGGGAAAACTGGGATTTGAGGAACGCTCAGGTTTTTGAAGCATCCAGCACTGTGGTGTTTTTTATCTCAGAGTCCCCGTGTGGGAGCTGAGTTGTTGAGAAGTGAACAACAGTTTGTCAGTGCCGGGCCCTTCGGAAAACTCCTGCCCTGCTCATTGGTGGCTGAGTTTATCCATCTCAAAAATAGATTGAACAGTGTTTTCAAAAGGCAGCTATTAAAAGCGCTTCAAGTTTTTAAATGCCGTTGAGGTCTCAGTGCTTAAGTGGACCTTTTAACCCATGCTTTTTAGAGAAAAAGTGTAAAAATAAATCTCTTCTAATTGTCAGAGAATAAAACAAATTAAACCTGATCCCCTTCTACGCATTTGTTTAATTCAGCATGTTTATACTTCTTATCTTTGGATTGTTCGCTCACAGCTCCCCGTGCAGCAGCCGAGGGGTGACAGAGGAACTACGTGCTAATTTTTATGTCAAAAATAGCTTTCACCTTTAAAGGCACATGGCTCACTGGCTGTTTGCTAATTACAAAAAGAATGCCAGAGCTTCTCCTGCAAATCCGTTTTACAGCTGTGTTCAGATTGGACTGTCAGCCCCTGGTTAAAATTGAGTGCTGAGGTCTTGACCTAGAAACAACCCTTTTTTGGTATTGGTTTGGAAAGAGTATTTCAGGGCTGAGAGGAGCTGAGCCAGGCTGTCCAGCCAGCTCCCTCCTCAGCTGGCAACCGCCACAGCATCACATCATTCTGTCAGACATTGCATCTCCCTGAAGCCCAGATCAGGACCACTGGGCAAGCCAGGCTTATGATTCTTAAAAATGTTATATTTTTTTGTTGTTGTTCTTCAGGTTTCTGGGATATTCTGAATGAACCTGGTCTAGTGGAAGGTGTCCCTGCTCTTGGTGGGGGGTTGGAATGAGATGAGCTTTGAGGTCCCATCCAACCCAGACCATTCAGTGGTTTTATGATTTTTAAAAGTCCTGGGTTTTCCTTTAAGGAAGCATCAGTGCCTTTTGAAAGTCACACCGTTGGCATCTGCAATCACTGCTTGTGTCAGAGCACAGACCTCTGCTTTCCTCCAGAGCATTTACAGTCCCTGCCTCCCAACCAACCCATTTAGTAAAAAAAAGGACATTTTACAAATGTGTGGAACCTTTTGTTGTCCAGAGAAGTCAGAAATATTCCATTCACTTTTTCACTTAGTTGTTCTCACCAGCTGTCAAGACAAAACCGTTTGTGTTCTGTGTTTTCTGTGCAAGGCTTGTTTTTCAGGGAATAACCAATTTCGTTGGAACTGGCTGAAAATTACATTCACTATTAATTCTTCGTAGTTGTGTATTCCTATTCCCACTTCTTTTTACTTCCTAGTGTCATTAGCAGCTAAGACCCATATCAAAGGGATA